ATAAGGTAGCATCTTTATATAAACTTTATCAAAGTTTATATAAGGTTGCAACGACAATTAAGGTGCACCTCAATAATCCATTACGCTTGAGCATTGTTTTCAAATTGGAAATGATTTAGGAAAATTGTTTCATGCGGGTTGTGGACTGCATGAGTGGTCCAAAAAGTGTAAAGCATCCATCTTCAAGATGGATGCAAGCAGATGTTCCATCTAAAAACAATAGAATCTAACTGTCCAAATATTTTCTTATTAGAATTATTATTTTTACTTTTTAAATTTTAATTTTTTTTTATATTCATAGTCTCCATGTTAGAGATTACATGTCCTTAAAATTTAAATAAAAAATCCATCTCAAAAATAGATTTATTAATAATCCCACATTTTTAGATATGCTGGCATGGCTGCATAGAAATCGGGTCTAAAAATCTATACTAGGTCGCAATTAGAATTAATGTTCACCTTAATAATCCATCAAAAAAAGTTTTTTTAATGTTTAAAAACCTTCTATTTATCGTCCTGACTTATGATGTATAGATATGAAAAACAAAAAGGTATACATATAAAGAAGGGTGCAGTTGCATACGGAGGCCTCCGTAGGTGTAGAGGTACGGTGTCCTTCAAAATTTATCATGCTATATATTTTTGATATAAAATGTTATTAGGATTATCTCAAAATATATTTTTATATTTAATTATAAAATTTTAAATTTCAAAAAAGCTTAAAATCAAATAGATCTATAAACATATGAAAATCTTGAAAATGGACGGTGTAGATAATATGTTATAAAAGACACTATTTCTGAGACTTAAAATCTTTAAATTTTTCATAGTCACACATCTCGATGTCGAGATGATCAACATTAAAACTACCTTTTCAGATGGATTTTTGAGGGGCATCCATAGTTCTACATTATAAGGTAGAATCCTTATATAAACTTTTTCCTATAAAAAAAGGTTTCGAGCCTCAAAAGTAGTCCATCTTGCAACACTTATTTGGACAGGCGATTTTTAAAATTTTCGTGTATTTATATATCTATTTGATTCAAACTATTTTTAGATTAAAATTTTATAATTAGATATAAAAATAGATTCCCAAACTATTCTAAGAATTTTTTACAATGAAATTACATCATGTAATAAAAATTAGAGGTGGAGCTTATTTTGATTGTTTAAGATTACAACCTTATACAAACCACACCCTAAATCCCTTATGACGATGAAAAATATAGAGAGTATGATAATTTAACGCCCACTTAGTAGCTTAGCCAAATTTAGCGATATACCATTAGAAGAGGGAAGTTCGGTGTTAATTTTGACAAGTAGGGGTATTTTTATTATGGAGAAAGTTTATATAAGAGTGATGCCTTAAACGAACTTAAAAAATTCACAAGAAGATGTTGTTTCGATATTCAAAAACCTTCAATTCGATCATCTGGACCTCAAGATGTATCGTCATGATAAAAAAATAGATTTCAGGTCTTAAAAAATAGTGCATCTTGTAATATATTATCTAGACCGTTAATTTTCAAAATTTTCTAAGTGTATATAGATATGAAGCCTCACCCTTATATAAACCATATTCGTTTATTATTCCTTTATTTATTCATGTGAGGCTAAATTATCAAAAAGTCCCACGTTTTTAGAGTTTCCAATGCTGAACAACGAGAATAATTTGTTCATTTTTGTAAAGAGTCTCGGATTTCCATGAAGAGATTCAATTTATGAATATACAAACTCATCTTTTATAAACAAATTACCTAATAACGTAATACAACCCGTATATCCACAAGATAAACTTGATACTCTTCAATGTATCAGAGCCAGATTCATATTTCCCACCTCTCTTCAATGTATCCGAGCCAGATTCATATTCGCCACCTCCCTCTCTGCGTATGTAAAACCAGTTGCATTGTTACCTCTCCGCATCCGTAAAAGTCACCGTTTGTTGTTCCCGTGAGACCACCTCAACGTTGTTGTTTCCCTCTCAAAAAAATAAAAAACAAAGAAATAAAACCCAAGTCATTGTTTGCATTGCCCGCTCTGTCTCTCAAAGCAATAGAAGAGAGAACCACCCATTACCCTCAATGAATCATTTTGCCACCATTTCCATCCCTCCTCTCAAAACCCTAATTCAACATTCAACGCGCTGATCCCACCTCTCAAAACTCTTTTTTTTGTTCCCCATGGCCTGAAACCCAATCTAAAGAGAACCCGAAACCCTTGATTTTCCCCGACATCATGGATGAACCAGAAGAAGATGACCCCACTTTTCGTCGTTTTCTTGATCCCCTCCCTCTTCCCCTCCTTTCGAGCTCAACGAGAGCGACGTAATATGGTTCACTAATTACTCCTCCGCAAAATCCCTTGAGAACTCGCCAACCACCTCAAAACCCTCGCCTGAAACTCCCACATCAAACTACCATCCTCGCCATGGCTCCAAACTGGTGAGATTTGGCCTCTGCTGCTTTATCCGAACCCTAGTCCAATGCCAAACTGGTCAAAACCCTAGCTTCGTGGCTCGAGCTATTCCTCCCGTTCAGATTCGTCAACGTTCATCTGGTTCTTATGGTTCTGGTTCAAACGGTGTACTATTGAGTTTGCTCATCTTTCTTGTTTGTCGGATCGAATTTGTTACTCTATTACTCGATCTGATATTTGACCAGATACTCAACCGAAAAACATCAAAAACATAAAGGAAAAAAAAACCTCTAAAAATTTGTGCATGATCGAGTGCATGTGTTCTATTACTAGAGCATGTCATCGTTTGGTTTTTCAAGTGTTATTCTGTCTTTTCATAAATATGGAATTTTGGAGAAGTATGGGATTTTGGAATTTTTGTCAGATTAAACAAAGCCTAATATGATATGTTCATGAGGCTTGACGATCGTTGTCATTTGATTTTTTTCGGCTACCTCAACTGTATTTTGATTTCAATTGAAGATCCTAAATTTATATGTTTATTGGGTTTGTTGATCAAGCAATCTGCACATCACAACCACTATTTCAGCATGCTACTTGTCTATCAGGTTAATATGAAAAGTGTATATGTAATCATCATATATGGGTGGAAAGGGTAAGTACCATATATTATAGTTTATATTGAGTATGGGTATAGTATGGGTGTCTATGATTTAGTTTAGTTTTTATTATTGTTATTTTTAATTTGTCTATAAAAGACAAATATGTATATTCATACGATCAATGGACAATGAGTCTTTTCAAAAAAACCTGAGACTCTTCACAATTTTTACCATATATTGTTAAATTGGTGGGATTCACTAGCTAAGTACTATATTTATAAGGTGGTTCGACCGTTTCATTGATACTTTCCCTTATGTTTGGAGAGAATTGGGGATATCAAGGGAGTGAAAAATCAACCTTATTCCCGCTTAGGTTCTTTATTGCCTACAGTTCCTTATTCCGAGTTCCAAACCCCAAAAACATTACATTTTATTTTCATTAAAATATCTTGTTTTGAGTCCAGAATATGGAACATGCAAACACATTTTAACAATTTCGCCTCATTTGTATTATGAACTAAATACTCTTACTTGTTAAAGATTTAAAACCCTGGAAAGGGCATTTCAAACTTTTTGTAACTCAAATAGAGAGCTTGAGTAGGTACTGAGGGAAATGATTTTTCTAAAGTAGCTACTTTTTTGAAAGGTCGACCAATTTCACCTCAATATTTTCAAGCGGTTCATGTATTCAGCTGATTTTTTTTTTCCTAGTCCCTGTGCTCTATAGCATGCCATCAATAATGATTTTTTCTAAAGGATTATGGCCTAATAAGAAAGTGAAAGAGAAAAAGAATTATTCTTAACAATTAAATCTGTCATCCGTATAGATTGAATCCCACCATCCATTAAATCATACTTACCAAGAAGGGTTTAATTGGTTGATAATTTGCATATGTAGAGCACCTACCTTAGATCCAGGTGCTTC